TACCCGTGTAGCCGCTTTGCCTTCACAGGTTCTCAGTTGCGTACTGTATGACGCGGTCGTAATCATTTACGACCCGTGAGTCGGTTACTCCATGTAACCACTCTACCTTGGTTCAGTTTCATACTGAATGACGCGGTTGTAATTACTTACAACCCGTGAGTCGGTTACTCCATGTAACCACTCTAATTGCACACGATCTCAGTTCAATACTGAAAGACGCGGTCGTAATTATTTACGACCCGTGAGTTGGTTACTCCATGTAACCACTCTACTTATTCATTGTCTCAGTTCGATACTGAGGGACGCGGTCATAATCACTTATGACCCGTGAGTGGTTACTTCATGTAACCACTCTGATTTTCATTACGACGGCTCGATGCCGATTAATGCGATCGTACACACGATCCGTAGAGCAATTGCACGTGGGGCAATTGCTCTTAATACACAACATACACACATTCATACAGTTGACCGTTTGCACTTTCATCGATTCTTTTGTCAATATACAATTCATTCAAGGGGTTTTTTATGCCACATGGCTTTTTCCCCTAATCATTTTTGTCGAGCCAATAAATATCTTTAAATTGTCTGGCTCAAATCTGAGTTTTATTTAACTCCTAAAACGTCCTCATCCTCATAAACTTTGAATTACGGAATTTTTCCATGTTGGAAAGGTTTCGACGATACACTTCGAGGACTTAGGATCCTTGGGGTGCACGAACACAGTTGCAACTAGTGCACTAGTTTTCATGATTAGAGGTTTAATAAACAATTGGAAGCAGCCGATAGTATATTACTTGACAACCAATTGTGTAAATAGTAATAACTTGTCGTATATATTAGACGAACTAATAAGATCAGTCTTACACGCAGGATTGAACTTACGCGCTGTTGTCTGTGATCAAGGCACAAATAATCAGATGGCCATTAAAATGAAACTTTCTGGCGGAAATCCGTATTTCATGCATGGAAATCGAAAGATTTACGCAATTTTCGACATACCACACATTTACAAGTCCATAAGGAATCAACTTTTGCAATACAATATCC